TGACCTAATTGAGATATTCTCTGCCTCGTGTTTGTTCAACAATTTTCCCTTGCAAGCTATTTCGTTAGTTAAACCATTTAGTTACTTTATACAATACGAAATTTGTATATAATAAAAACTCATCGATTCTCGTGCAGTGAGAATTCATGAATTCAAATAACTTAATTCAACAACTAAAACATTGGTTTGAGTAGTTGATTAAAATCCAATTGAAGTAAATAAGATTAGAATGTCATAATTACTAGAGGATATCTAAATTAATTACAGTGGATATTTAGAATTATAGATTTGCAAAGTGCGTGCAAATACGAGATAAAAAATACGAGAAAGTAGACTTAACAACGAAGCAAAGTTAGAATCAATATCTTCGAATAAGAGTATAAAATTTCATAAACATTCTGAGTCTAGCGATTAGTATCTGTATTTTAATTATCGAGTAATTAACGCACATTGAATCACGTAACTCGTCAGTGATACAAGTAAACGATATAACAGGCAAAGGAAAGAAGAATAAAACAATACGAATGAGAGAGACGAAAGAAGGAGGAGTGCTTGTAGTCGCGTTGCGCGAGATTCTTCCTTTGTCTCTCCCGTCTTTCGTTGTAATTATCCGTGGATCTCCCCGTATCGGGGGACGTGCAATCGTTGCGTGGAATATCGATACTTTTTCGCGCGAGCGGGTCGTTCGTCGTCGAACGAGAAGCGGACGGAGGGCGGGATTTTTCTGGACGTGAATAATTTCCCAGTGAAATCGCGACGGCGTGCATCGGGGTATTATCCGTTCCTTTGGGGTAGAAATATTCCCGATCGTAGCAAGATGGAAATGAGCCGGGTTCAAGTGGAATTTTTACGGGGAGGCAAAGGTTCTTTTTTTTTTTTTTATAATTTTCCTTTTTTTCTTTTTTCCTTTTTCATTAAGTTCGTTCGCAGTCTGAGTCGGGCTTCAATGAAGACGGTATTTTTAGGAAAAAGAAAGGGTGAAAAAAAATATTAGTTTTAGAATGGAAGGAAAGGAAGAAGGAAGATCAAAATGTTGATTGGAAATTTTGACAGAGTTTTCCAAGAATTTCTCAGTAACATTTTTTAGATAATATCTTTTTAATCTCGTTCAGAGTTAATTGAGAGAATCTTTATTTGAAACAGAGGAACTTTCCATTTGCCACAATATTTAAAACTCTGGTCCGATGTTCTTATCAGAAATACATCATCTTTGAAAGATGATAAAAAAGATAACTGTAATATAATAAAATCACCTTCTAGTTACCTTCTAAATTACCTTCTCAAATATTTATTACACGATGCCATAAAAGTATGTTGCGAAATATTCCAAAATTCCATCATTCGTCGTAATCAAATATAAATATACACATTCATAGAACGAAGAAGAAAGAAAGAAACAGATGCAATTGCTAAAAGCTGGAAAACTAGCGAAGTATGTACGTAAATTCATACGAGGCGATTACCTACTCGAATCGATCACGGATAATGGCACCGAGTATGATCTCACCCCAGTTCGGATATGAATCATAGACCGAGACGAAGATAAATGAGGATGAAGACGATCGTTGTATCTGACACAGGAAGACAGGAATCTTCGTCGTAGCCGTCACTTGTTCCCTGTCGCACAATGCTGAAATAGTATCCCCAGCGCACTATTCCATTGTTACGCACCCCCGGCATGCACTATCCCATTGTCACGAGCCAGATAAAATGGCAACGTGAACATATAGAGACGAAAATAGGCTTGACAGCCAGCAAAACACACTGTGTCTCTCATCGTTCCAGCAATCGTCATCATTCCAGCATAATTAAACTCTTCTTCTTCGAGTGGATTTTAGTGTGAATTTTGTAAAAATTTCGGAATTTTTTTCTTTTTAGAATTATAAATAAGATTTCAGAATTTGAGGAGAGAGAGAGAGAAAAAAATGGAGAACTTTGTAGATTGGTTCAAAATAAGAGATATAGAATGATGAATTATAGTACTGTTGTAAGTGTACAAGAATGAGAAGTGAAAAATTTACTTGAAATTTATTTTCAATTATTTTTGGTAATGAAGGTTTTTTTGAAATGCATGTGGTTTTTTATTTATTAAAAAAAAAAGGAATGTTTGGAAGTAGAGTTTTTTTTACACGTCTCAACTTTCACCTGAGATTGTATTGAACATTATTCGGAATGACTCAACTTTAGAATGTTGTTCGCGTCATTATGGCCGATTTAAAACCAGATAAAGTGAGATTGATTGTTAATTATCAGTTCTGTCTCTACGTCGAACGTTCCAATAGACGACATGGAAAATATGAAATTTTATCTTTATTTTATTTGAAAATTAGAACTATTAAAATTAAATGTCACCTCTGTAATAACCAATTGGAATATTCCACGCGATAAACTTCGATCAATGCCATAAATCGAAGTACAAGCAACTAAATTCGACTTTATTTAATTCTCTTAATTATTCAAATTAGTAAGGATTCAACAAACTTAGAATCATGTTAATTAATATTCTTATTACTCAATCTTCTCAACCTTCGTCCCAAACATTAATCAACCCTGTAAATCGGTATACGAGCAACGACGTATTCAATTCTGTTCCATTCGCATGGAAACTATTTTTAAGAATATTTTCAGCGCTCGATTTTTTAAAACTCGAAATAATCGCTCGAACTCGCAGAGCACGGATAACCAAATATTTCAATTCTACTTCATTCGTTCGAACAATCATCAACTATGAACGAAACATCCTATCAGTCACCATTGAACAAAACTTGTAACTCGATGAATATTGTTACCACTCTATCGTACCAAATTCAAAACCACCTCCGAAATCGAAGCACGAGCAACGTAGCTCTTCCAATTCTGTCCGATTCTTTCGAATCAAAAACTCGATCACGATCATTGAACAAGATAGCTGTATCAATTTCAATGAATGTCGTTATCACACGTTCTACCTAAACTCGGGAACGACCCCTAAAATCGGGGTACCAGCCATCAAATCTGCCAATTCCATTCAATTCCCTTGACTTCATTGAACAAAATACCCAGAACCATATTCAATGAACATCATTATGACTCCAGACCCCTAAAATCGGAGCACGGAATCACCGGATTTTCCGAGTCCTATAACCGATTCAGTACAATTCGTGGAGATTGAAGATCGAACACAATGAGAACCGTTCAATAACAGAGTTAACAATAAGCGTGTACTATGGCTAGCCTAATATCTCGTCATGTGGAATAGAAATGCATCTGACTGGGCCCTGTTGTTGTTAGGTTCGAACACGGCCATGGCGGTAGGCGGTGCGACCCTGGTGCATTGCGGAGGACCTGGAGGGGAGGACCGACCGGCCCACCTTGCCATTCCCTCGGGAGCCCTGGCACCCTCGTTGAACGCCGCTCTTGGCTCCAGCCTGAATTCCAGCCTGAATTCCAGCCTAAATTCCACGTTGGGTAGCATCGGTGCGGCGGCGAGCGCGGCCACTGCTGCCACGGCCGCTGCCACTGCCGCATGGCCGCCAACCTTATGGCAGTACCCCGCGGCGGCCGCGGCTGCTGCAGCTGCAGCTGCAGGTGAGACGCGAACCCTCCTCCTTCTTCTGTCCTTTTAACCTTTTCAGTCATCTTCTGCCGTTTCAACGTTGAAAAGGAACGTCATCAACGATATTCGCGGAATTCGTTTTTGCTTGTCAATGAGATAGTGGGTGTCATTGTTTTGGAAAGTTCAAGGCAGTGAACTCCCCCCCTTATTTCTTTCTGTTATTGAGACGTGAATCCTCCTTCTCCTGTTTTTTTAATCTTTTTTGTCATTTTCTGCCGTTTCAACGTTGAAAAGGAACGTCATCAACGATATTCGCGGAATCGTTTTTGCTTGTTAATGAGATAGTGGGTGTCATTGTTTTGGAAAGT